TTATTTTAATTATTTTTTCTTTATTTTAGTAATCATGACACTCAGTGTTAAGTGAGGTGTATATACATATCTTATTTTTTGTACCGTTCTGAAGTAAATTTTTGCTTCTCAAGTATCAATATATTATTATGACAGTTCTGTTAAAAATAATATTAGTATATAGGGACAGAGAGTTATTTATCTTAACAAACTGCAAAAAATGAACAATCAACCATCACATCTACAACAACTTGCTGTGGTAGCTGCTGCGAAAGACGCAGCTACCTCAAATAGATCTACAACAACTTGCTGTGGTAGCTGCTGCGAAAGATGTGGTAGCTGCTGCGAAAGACGGCAGCTACCTCAAATAGGCCTAAATCTCATAATTTTTTTTGGTTTTTTAAGAAAATCTATATATATTTGGAACGACCTGTTTACGTGGTCCTATGATTTTGGATTGCTTTCCTGTTGTCCCTTTGGGATTTGGATTTGGAAGATTTCATTTGGGAACTCTTGATTTAGTTCGCAGGGTTCACTGAGAAGAGCGGCGTGGTATCGCCGGAATTGGCAGGCATGGCGGACGCTGAGGATCAAATTCTTTCTCTAGAGCGTTCTTCTCGGTTAACTAGAGGAAAGAGGTACGAATCTCTAATTCCTTCATGTTCTTCAGCTCCTAGGCGAATGCTGAAGAGCAATTCACGATGCCCTAATACTTTTGTCTCTAATTTGCTCACGATCTTCAAGCCCCACGGTTTTTTTACTGTTTTTCTTTGTTTGTAGTTTCTTTTCTTATTGCAGCCAATGGATTGCTGTATTTTGCCCTGAAAAAGTCATGTAGTTGCATCTTTTATGTGATCCTTTTGGCGTGCAGTAGTTGAAAAGGTTTGAAATGAGGTCTAATACTGATGGATTTAGTCAACCTCATTGAAAATGAGGCCGACATGCAACAACAGTAATGGAAGACGATACAATTACGAAATAATTTAGGGGCTTTGTCTTTGGACATCTCCTTCATCATGCCACTATATTCTTTAATTTGGACGATGAGTAAATGATGATATGGTTGCAGTAACTCTGGCAGCAAAAACTTCGGTAATCATTGGATGGAGCTCACAACACATAGCACTATTAGGAACCTCTTATGTCTCCATGTAAAGATGCTAGTGAAAATCAGCAGTGATTAATAGCACCTCATATTGCGGCTTAATAACATTCTGTATTTGCATCTCAATGCAATGAAGTGGCATCAATAGGCAAGTATTGTGCATCCAATAACTACAACTCAAGAGATGGGGAAGAAATAGTAGAATGCAAGTATTTATCATGGGAAACATCATGTTCTATCATGATCTCCAAACCTCAATAGCTAGAGCCCAACCTAGCCTATAGAATTAGGTTTCACATCCACCATAACATGGGTATATTGATTGGCAGGGCTAATTAAAAAGATGGAGCTATAGGGATTTGTGGAGAAGTTGGAGTGAGAGGGCCTATCCGTGTGATCAAACCATTGAGATTTTGCGACATCATATTATGTTTGTCATCTATGTTATGAAGTGGCATCAATAGGCGAGTTTCATGCATCCAATAGCTACAACTCAAGAGATAGGGGGGCAATAGTAGAAAGCAAGTATCTATTGTTGTAAACATCATGTTCTAGCATGATCTCATATTCAAACCTCACTAGCTAGAGCCCAACCAATCCTATAGAATTAGGTTTCACATCCATCATAACATGGGTATATTTAGATGATGTGATTGGCAGGGCTAATTAAAAAGATGGAGCTATTAGGATTTGTGGAGAAGTTGGAGTGAGAGGACCTATCCGTGTAATCAAACCATTGAGATTTTGCGACATCATATTAATTCTGTCATTCAAATTATGGAGTAGATTATCATACTTATTAGAACAGGATGCTTGAGAGTTTCTAGAAGAAGACCAATCAAAATAATGCGAATGATGATGTGTATTATATGAAAGAAAAGGTGACAAATTATTAGTTAAATAATAAGTATATGAGTTGTATTAATGTTTTGGAGTAATAAATTACATATGCATTTCATTCATATCTTCAATGTAAGGGTATTGATTATATGTATTGCTACGAGAATATAAAGAATGTCTTTTTGGATACTTATCACAACAATGATGATCATAGGGTCACAAAATTATTGTATTTTTGTGAAAAATAGAATTTTAGTTTCTATCATAGTTGTACACTTATGCTAGTTATACTGTTATGAACCCACAATAAAAGGTAATTAAATTGTGGATTCATTTGGAGAGTATTGTTTTGACGATTCCTATATGAGGGAATGTAAAACTTTTAGCTTGGAGGGGAGTTTCCAAGTAGGGATTTTGACATTTTGAAAAAAAAAATGGAATATGAATACTGTGAAAATTTGGTTTTGTGATGTGGATAATCTCGAGGAGGATGGTTAGGAAGGGATTATTTGGAATGTGGGTGAAATATTGAATGAGGGGAGGGAGATTTTGGCTAGGGTTTGCATGCATTAAAAATATTTAATGGTTGTAGTAATATATGAGGGTTTTAGGGTTAGAATTTTCTTAATCTTTTTTTTTTCTTGCATAAATGGAAGTTAATAAACTTAAGAGAATGAAGAGTTGTCGGAAAATTCTAAAAGGGAGTGGGTGCGAAAAATCAATATTTTAGAAAAATAAGTGAGGAAGGAGATGACACCTAGAGAGCAAAAGTATGTAGAAAGAAAAATTAAAACTTTATATGTTATGCCCATAATGGACCTATTCAACTCTGGTGCTATGTAACATAGATTGAATGTAGGGGAATTAAAATTGATGTTCTTCCTTGGTCTATAGGTTAGAGAGAGAAAATATAAGAGGGAGAGAAGTAGAGCTTGAAGTTTGAGAATTAAAAATGTGTTAATTGTTTTAATTATTTCCTTGGTAATCTTTCTATAGTGTGGAGAAATGAGAAATATATAAGGTGGCTTGAGAGGGAATCAGAGAGAATAATTTGTGAGGCTAAGAATTTTGCCTTTAATGATCTTTATAATAGATTATAGTATAAAATTGTCAAGCAAAGTGATAAAAAAGTAAAGATTTAGTTTAAGTTAAATGTATTAATGATGAAAATTAAAAAGATTTTTTTTAGGTGAGTATATGTTGTTGTTGAGGTTGAGGATATTTAACATAGGTGGTGAGATATTTTGATAAACTTTTAAATGAAAATTATGAAAATATGACCGAATTTAGTGATTTAAATATCATTAATAATAACAAAATTTTTTATTTTCACCATCGCGTTAGCAAAATAGAAGTTGATGAGACTTTAAAAAAATAAAGTGTGAAAAAACAGTAGGATCTGATAGTATTTCAATAGAAGTGTGTAAATATTTAGGCGACATGAAAATTTTTTGGCGTACTAAATTTTCTTAATATTATTTTGAAAACTAAAAGGATGGCAGATGAATAAAGAACGAGTCTATTGATTCCTATTTTTAAGAATAAAGGGGATGCATAAGAGTGTGTAAATTATAGAGAAATTATGTTACTCTGTTAAATTTCTTAAAATCTGTTTGGATTCATGTCGGGCAAGTCTACTATATAAGCTATACATTTATTAAGAGGTTCGATGGAGAAGTACAGAGAGGAAAGGAGGATCTATGTATGATTTTTGCTGATTTGGAAAACCTTATGAGAAGGCTCCAAAAGAAGTACTTTGGAGAGTTCTAGAAAATAAAGGTGCTGACATTACTTATATTCAATTCATTAAGGATATGTATACTAAAGTTGTTACTTGTGTTTGAACACAAGGAGGATTGACCATTTATTTTTCTATTTCAGTTGGATTACATCAAGGATCAAATTTAAACACATCATCTTGCTTTAGTCATGGATGTTCTTACTGGACATTTATAGGAGGATGTACCTTAGTGTATACTTTTTGCTGATGATGTTCTTCTTATAGATAAGACTAGAGAGACTTAAAAAAAAAAAATTGATTTATGGAGGTCAATTTTATAATCTAAAGGCTTCGTTTGAGTAGATCTAAAATTGAATACATGTAATGTAAGTTTAATAGTAGTATATCTAGTGGCGGGTTTGTAACAATTATTGATCAAACCATTAAAAAGAGTGAATGATTCAGATATCTTGGGTCTATTGTTCAAATTGATGGTGATATAGATGAGAATGTTATTAGTAGAATTCAAGTTCGATGGTTGAAGTGGGGAAATGCGTTAGACCTATTGTATGATTGAAAAACACCACTTAAACTTGAAATAAAATCTTATTAGATGATGGTGAAACCTGCACGGTTTTTTGGTGCAGAATGTTGGCATGTAAAAGAGAAACATAAAATAAATTTAAGTGTTCCTAAGATGTGAATGCTTAGGTGGATGAGTCACTTTACATTTAGAGGCAAAATGCAAAATGAATATATTCATGAAAGTGTGGGAGTAGCTCCAGTGACAAACAATATTAGAGAGATTCGATTTGGATGGTTTGGTCATGTTAAACCTTAACCATCTGATGATCCTGTTAGCAGAGCAGATGTTTTAAATTTGACTTATGTTAAGAATGGTAGAGGCAGATCTAAACAGATTTGAGCATATTGTATAAAAATTGATTATAATTTATTAGAATGAAATGAAACTATTGCACTCAATAGGACACAGTAGAGAAAAAGGATTCATGTGGCCAACCACACTTAGTAGACAAAGGCTTATTGTTGTTGTTGTTTTAGTATTAGTACTCTTCTCATAAGACTTTTGAACTACTATTGTGATTAAAAACTCTTAAACCATACTTTGAATGCTTATGTAATGAAGAAATGCTCAATGATTCTTTTTTGATATGAAATCATATATGAAATACAAAATAAACGTTCTTAAAATGATGTTAAGATTCCATAAACATGGTACTTGTTTTGAATTGATTTAATAAGCATTAATCAGTAGTGATGATTTTGTTTCAACATAATGCAACTACAGTTTGTATTCTTTTTTGAATGAGAGGTTGGAAGGAAAATAAAGAAGAGAGACAGGAGAGAGAAATTAAAGGGAGAAAGAGAGGAGGGGAGGGTTCAAGCAACCATGTTTTCAATTCAATAATTTTAGCAATTATCTAAATAAATTTCTCGAATCTTTAATATTGACATGGGCTTTTAAATAATGCTTAACATTCTTTTGATTAATAAAGAAAGGTTTGTGTTACAATTAAATGAAATAAACATAATAAAAATGCTTAATAATATCCTAACATGCGATAAAAATAAACATAACGCATGCACACATAGCACTTGTAGCTCGCAAGGAGTAATATAGCTTGTGATGCTATTGTGTCAATTGGTTTGAGGTGGCTCTATCTGTCTAATTGTGTTGTCAGTCATTGAAGATATTTCGATCTTTGTAGCTGATATTCAATGGCGCTAGTTGCAATATGAAATTACATATTGACAATGATGGTTTGTTTGCTCATTATTGATGCCCGGTGTTGCTTGTTGATAACATTCTATTGTTTGCTAACAATAACACACTGCTCCCATTGCTGATAGATAACCAAATAATAATGTGGTGATGATTAAGAAGCTCAGTTGACTATTCTCCAGATAAATGCAAGTTTAACATAAGTGAATATATAATCTCATGTTTGGGACATCCCATTAAGAACTTGCCCCTATAAGAAGAAAAATGGGTTGGCTAATTATGGTATAAAATTAAGGGTTGTTTAGCTTGAAATATGAAGTGTTGTTTAAGATGAGGATGGTTTAAATAACGGTGAAAGAAATAATTACAACTGGGTTATTGAATTCCTTCGAGATGTTTAAGCCATGAAACCCCCAACAACTTTTTGTGAAGAATCGAGGAATACCCCTAGTAGGTGGAGGATGGCAGATCTCACGAGGAACTATTTGTGGGTTGATATGAACAAGCGACGATGAATGCACAACCATGATAGGAGAAGTAGCCCGAGGGGAAGGCGATGGAGGCGGTCATACGAAACTTAGTGCATGATCATGAATTAAGGGAAGCGACGAAGTTTGTTGTCGGATACTAGTTGATAAACAAAAAATTATTGACATTAATTTAGAGGGTGACTACAATGATGATATCTGATACATCTAAAATATATAGTCTTTATGTACACATTTTTATACATATTTTTGAGATATTGCGCTTTAATGAAAGATATTTGTATGTTTTCTTTTAGGTACAATCAAATAGATGAATAATGGTAAATTTAGTGAAAAAAAGATATTTGTATGTTTTCTTTTAGGTACAATCAAATGGATGAATAATGATAAATTTAGTGAAAAAAGATAGATGAATAATGGTAAATTTAGTGAAAAAAGGTCAAATTTTGAGCAAAAATGAAGGTGCAAAAATGAACTGAGGCGCTTAGGACTAGAACTTACGCGTCAGTTAAACAGCAAGAGCCGCGCCTAAGCGCCGGGTATCCCGCTCTTAAGCACAAAAAGTAGTTATTTGATGACGTTATTTGATGACTCATTGAATTTGGACAAATTTTTGAAGAGGTGTTTGAAACAACCTTTGGTAAAAACGTGAAAAATAGTTGATGGACACGAAAATTTCTTCAATTGGCTTTTGAAAGGAGGCAACTTCTAGAAGATTCATTGAATGATGACACATTTTGAAGAGACACCAAAACACCTTTTGGATTTTTATAAAAGAAGACTTAAATCATCCACGGTGGAGGCCAATCATCATCCATCCATCCATATCAATCCAGTGCCAACCACCACATACGTCGCCACCGCCCTTTTATTTTTATTTCGAGTGTATTTTGTATTGTGAGTGAAGGAAGAGATTCAAAGGTTCAAAGAAACTTCAAGAGTTTAGTGGAGAGTATTTAAGATAAGTTTTTATCTTTGTGACTACATTTGGTTTTAAGTTAGACTTCTTGTTTATTGGTATGATTTCTACTTTTAAACTAAGTGTGGTTGTGTTTTCCCCATTAATTATAAGTAGTTTTCTTTATCGTTTTTTTTTAAATAATAAGTGATTAAGTATTGGAGGGAAGTTGTGTGAAATGTTAGACTTTAATGTTAGAAGAAGTTGTGATGATTTTAAACCTTTTACTTTATTTTATTTCTTCATTTGACCAATTAAGATGTTAATATCTATTGTGAGAACATGTAAGATCCGACATGTAAGATCCGAGATGACTAAATGGTAAGAATCACATTTGATTTCATGGATGAGAATGTAGTTCATGGGGTTGAGTGCAAATAAATAGGGAAATAAACTTTGAAGGGTATAGAATTAGAGAACTTTAGAGTGACAGACTAAATCCTCCAATTTAATTTATAATTTTAGGTTTTGGTACGAGATGTTAGCCCCAGGTGGAGGGAGAAGAGAGAATTCTAGAGTGAGAGCTATCATCTCTTTATCTAAGTGGCCTTCAAGACTTGGATTTTTATAAAAGAAGACTTGGATCATCCATGGTGGAGGCCAATCATCATCCATCCATCCATACCAATCCAGTGCCAACCACCACATACTTCGCCGAGGAGTTGTAGTGAGTAGAGATTATTGTAAGGGAAAGGAAGAGAAGAGATTCAAAGGAACTTCATGAGGTTGGTGGCGAGAATTTGAGATAACTTTTTATCCTTCTTACTACATTTGGTTTTAATTTATACTTCTTGTTTGTTTACATGATTTCTACTTTCAAACTCAAGTGTGGTTGTGTTTTCTCCATGAGTTATGAGTAGTTTTCTTTATATACTTTATCGTTTTTTTTTAAATAATAAGTGATTAAGTATTGGAGGGAAGTTGTGTGAAATGTTAGACTTTAATGTTAGAAGAAGTTGTGATGATTTTAAACCTTTTACTTTATTTTATTTCTTCATTTGACCAATTAAGATGTTAATATCTATTGTGAGAACATGTAAGATCCGAGATGACATTGTCTCAGTCAATAAATGGTAAGAATCACATTTGATTTCATGAATGAGAATGTAGTTCATGGGGTTGAGTGCAAATAAATAGGGAAATAAACTTTGAAGGGTATAGAATTAGAGAACTTTAGAGTGCCAGACTAAATCCTCCAATTTAATTTATAATTTTAGGTTTTGGTACGAGATGTTAGCCCCAGGTGGAGGGAGAAGAGAGAATTCTAGAGTGAGAGCTATTATCTCTTTATCTAACCGGTCTTCAAGACTATTCAAACTATAGATTAACCAATGTTCTTCATAGCATTTCTAGTAAGAGTAAAAAATATTATTGCTCTTATTTGACACAACACAATTAGAATACTGCCACAACATAATTCCTATACTTGTTACTGATTCATGTTAAAAAAAATATTTTATTTATATTGTCTTCATCCTTCAAATATCTAGTTAAGTTAGTTGCTTACTTTATTTTCAATTATTAAAAATTAAAAAAAAGAATTGAACTTTCATTCCTATTTTAGTATCTAGAGTTTAAGTAAGAATATTCTGCTAAGTATAATTTTGATTATCTAATTTTTCCTGTTTTATAAAGTGCATATTATATTTTTCTTAGGAGTTCGATATTTGGGGTTTAATAAAAAAATTTTTGGGGCTTAATAAAAAAGTTCTATATTACTTGGTAATGATACGTATACTTGCGTAGTATCCCATGTTAAATATTATAACTTTAAACATTGTAACTATACTCTTACTTGCTTTGAAATTAAAAATTTACCTAGCTTTTGCTTGGGATCAAGTTTTTTGTTTTGTTGCAAGTTAAGAATTATAAATAAGGAAATTAAAGATATAATCACATACATCGCATTGACATCTATAACCGAAGAATCGACACCAAGTTTTTAGCGCCGTTGCCGGGGAAAATTAACAAGAATTGCAGAATTTTTAAAGAGATTTTTAGGAAGCAAATTTCTATTTTTATAAAATCTTATTTAAATTTTTAGATTTATTATAGGAATGTTGTAGTGTTGTTTTTTATATAAAGTTTTTGTTTGTGTGTTTTTATTTTATTTTATGTGTTTTTATTTTATTTTATGAGTTTTATAGTAATGTATGCATAGTTCAGGTTCATTTTTGGGGTGAATAAGTAGTTTGTGTTTTATAGTAATGTATGCATAGTTCAAGTTCATTTTTGGGGTGAATAATTAGCTGCATTTTTAATGACTCGAGCCCTAATTTTGGGGTGACAATTACCTATATTAACTTCATTGCAGCACAACTTGTCCTGTAAAGGGAATTTATTTAATTTTTTGTTTTTAAATTTCCTATTAGAATCTCAATTCTCACATGAAAAACAATTATTATGTTGTGATTTGATGACTAAATTCCTACATTAAATGCACTTGAATATAGGCTTAAATTATATTGGTTTTTATTGCATTTAAGTATCTTACAATTGTTATTTGATACCATGAATGAAACATTAGTTGCTTGGCTGTCAGAGGCAGACTAGCATTTTTAGCCTTTGCATCCTAAACATGAGCATTGCAACAATGGATTTTGTATTATTTGCATTTGGCCAGGATAATTGCAAAAACAATTTCTTAAAAATTCATGCAACAGAAGTGAGGTGTTATGCTGATTCATTTTATCCATGTTGCTGTAATTTTTGACATGGTTACAGAATTCTGAAATCATTTTTTGTGACCCTTTGGGTGGGGTGGATGTGCATGTCTATGTACTATTCCTTTTCATAGGCACTCAAAACATTTCTGTACTATTGTTAATCTGCTACTAAGAAATACAGGAAACACTATCAAATGCATGTATGCTTTTTTAAGGGGACATTTGTTTTATTTTAACTAGAGGGTTGCTTTTATTTCTTCATGCTAGTATTTTGGGAGTAGCATAAATGTTTTCCATCTTTTTATGTAACGAAGATAGAAGTGGCCCTTTGAAATTTCCATCAGTATTTTGTTCTTATGTTTGAGTTTCTCCTATTGGGGAGTAGATCATTGACATAGGCATTTTACTTTTTTTCCAGGATGACTAAATTACTAGATGAGGAGATTGAAGACGATGAAATTTTTTGGAATCAAGATGCTCTTAAAGAAGTATCATCACATGATGCTCTTAGAATCAAGTTTTATGCTTCAAATTGATGAATCTAACATTGATTTGTGTTAATGATGGTCATTTCAATTTTGCTTAATAGTATAAGGTCTAATTGAGGTTTTTGATACAAATTTGACTTAATAAACATTAGTTCATTGGTTTATATTTTAATCTTGACTAATGAAATTGATGCCTTTGTGTTCATCCTTCATCATGCTTGCAATTCACTAAACATGTTTGCTTTTTCGAGATGTTAAGCTAATGATCAGTTGTTTTATCGATTCTTATATGCATGCTATGGAGATTTTATTTGATTTAATGGCTCCTTTCTATGATTTTGTTCTATAGGAAGAGAATGATGATAATTATGAAGAAGAGCAAGAAAAGCCTGATGAATTTGATAGTGATTTTGAAGAAGATGTGAGTATCCATGTCCATCAAATATAACGAATTTGTTTTTATTGTGTGTTCCTTCTTGCATGTTAAACATACTTCCTAGCTTGTTTTTTGTTTCGGCAGTGAACCTTGTTTTTATAAGCAGGAACCTGATCAAGACGATGAAGCAGAAAATCCTGCTGAGGAGAGGTTCT